TATACACACAATGGGACAGTGTCATTTGGTTATAAAGGCTTGGGTCCAAGAGTCACAAAGAACTCATGGTATATGAGCTAAAATCAATCAATAAAAGCATTTTGTGCACATGCATTTCAGAGGAACCCCGAAGAACATTGTACAGGCAAGATTTGTGGCTGTACTTTCTTCTAGTTGTGGTGAATCAGAAAATTTTAAGGGTATGAACAGGTGCTGTTTACATTCCTTCAATTATTATAGACAAACTGAGGACAACTGATGAGAATATAGACTCCTGACTGGTCTTTAATCATCTTTAATTCCACAACCACTTATTAAGAAAGGACTTTGTGCAAAAAAGGTGGACCCTAAGGGGCATAGGTCATGTAGGCATGAGAGAACCTGAGTTTTAGCTTATGGTGTTTGAAAACTTTGAAACAATGTGTCTTTGGGAAAGTTTCTTAGTCTATTTAATCCTATTTTGTGTGTTCTGTAATCCAAGAGTAGGTGTTCTTCCCTTTAAATTAAGCAATGCTATATAACATGAGTTACTATATGACTGAGTTATTGGGGATGGTAGAACACAGTGGTTAAAAGCACAGCTTTATGTGAATTCAGACATGAACAGCAGGATATTTCTCCACCTATAATTCTGATAGTCAAAAATCCACTTAATCTATGACATATCTATCCATCTTATCTATCTATCTGTTTGTCTGTCTATCTAGAATCCATCTATCTATCTATCTATCTATCTATCTATATCTATCTATCATCTATCATCATCTAACTAGTCTATATATAATCCGTCCATTATCTATGTATCATGTCTATTACATATTTATCTATTTATTCATTCATCATCTATCATCTGTCTATCTCTCATTTCTCATCTATTATCGATCTCTATATCTATTGTCTGTCTATTCTATCTATCATCTGTCTATGTATCTAACAACCAATCTACCTACCTATCACATAGATATGTGATATATACTTATGTATTGGGATAAAATATTATTACCGAGGGTTAGGCCAATTATTATCTCTAAAGTAGTCAGAATCTGTAATTTGGACCAGATATGCCTTGTGTGCTCCAGAAAAGAAAAATATTTGTATCTGTGGTTCCTTGATTTT